AGGCCCATTATTATCCAGCCAACTGCTAGAGAGGGGTTCCATCTAGCAGAGAGAAGATTTAATAAAGTCTGAGGATCTCTTGGTACGGTATGTACCTTTGAACTGCGAGGAGTCTAACAGCTCTACAGAAATGGTGTTGGATGTGTCTAAGCTGTTATAAACCCGGCTGTTTCCTTAGTGTCTCCTACATGGTTACATGTTTAGATGATTTTGTTTGAGTTTTCTGTGTTTCTGTTCTTTTTTCACTTTGTGATAAATTCTAAATGTTTTTAGACTTTTAGATTTTCACTGGCATTTTCCATCTGACTGACATGAAACTTGCTTCCAGAATATTCAGCTTGCTCCTCTGAGCCTGTTTTGATGTCAGACTGAAACTATTTGATCTGAAGCCTTTTGCAGCTGCTGAGTCAGCGAGCTGAGCGTTCTTCATCCAGAGAGAAAAAGATTCAACACTAACCCAGAGTTGTTTGTTTAAAACTCTGAACTATTCGTTTGAACAGAATTCAGGTATTTCAGACGTTAAAAGTGTGACTACCTCCTGATGGAGCATCTGGAAGAGACTGTCCAGCTGTCAGATGAACAACTTTAGAGTCTGAACTAAAATATGCCAAAGCTGTTGCTCGTGTGTTTTAAACATCTGCACATCAAAGAAAAACTTCTACTGGTGCTTTTCAACATCAGCGTTCTGTTTTATACACAGTCATGATACTGAGGTTCATTATTATGAGTCACAACCTAACCTGAAGTGAACTTTTCACATTTCTTGCCACATTAGACAGATTTGTGATCCAGATCTGAGAAGAAGTCTCTGATCTTTGAGTTCAGCCCAACGGGGGCAGAAACAAAAATGTTGATTAATCCTTTTAGTAAGTATTGTTGGTTTTGGGAGTTTAGGATGAAATGGCTGTACACGTCATTTATGACATATTTCTGTCCAGTTTCTTACTGGTCTCCAGCTGGAACAATCAGAGCAGTAATACGAGTCGTAATGTTCTAGCCCCAAACTCCGCCCCATCTTTGTGACAGTGGATCACTGCCAAGTATATTGTGAAGGTGATTTTTTTGTTTGCCTTATTCTTGCGTACTGGTTTTCCAGCTGCATCAGCAGACCTGCCCCTTCCCTGTGTAGCTCCAGCAAGCAGCAGAGCAAATGCGTCAAAGAAAAGATATGTGCCTACATTTTCCAAAAGACGCATACACTGACAGGAAAAAACATCTATCTTTTTACCCGTTTTTAAATCAATCCATCCATCCATCCATCCATCCACCACAGACACAAACACAGAAACAAGTTAAGATTTTCAGTAGTTTTATTGAAAAATGCCTCTTCTGTTTCCTGAAATAAATAAGAAATGAGGCTGTGGAATTGACAAATTGCAGCTGGAACAATGTGAGGTCAGAATGACCAGAAACTGAGGAACAGATTCAAACTTAATGAAACAAACACAGGAAGTTAAAACACCACAAACAGGAGATTCCCCCCTTGGTACACGAGGCTGGGACAGAATGAAGTCAAACGGGTAAATGTAAAATCTGGAGATACACAATGAAAGCATCTGATAGTGAAGCTCTACGAGTGCTTCCTTTCAATTTGATGCAAATATGTTACAGGCTCACAGGCTTGATCAAAACACCGTCCAGACGCTCCAAAAACAAATATTCACAAACACTCGACTGATCTTATGATGTGTGTCTGTCAGACGCCCTTCGTGGTAGCGACCTCTTTCGACGCTGGTTCTGTAGCAGAGGGTCCTCCTCGTGGACTGGGATGACCCGGGTTCCTGCTCAAAGATAGTGTTTGGGTTGTTGAAGAGTCACTGGAAAACTTTCACTCTCAAGAGTTTCAGCATGCACAAGCAGAGATGTTAGCAGATGAAGCACCACTGTAGGTGTTAACAAATGTCAGGGGCGTGGCTGCAGGGGGCGTGACCACAGGGGGCGTGACCGCCAGAGCTACATCTGTGCCATCTCTATTACGAGAGCTCCACATAAATACTCAAACCTTAAGAAAAAGCATTAATAACTCAGTCCACATGTTAAAGTGCATTTTTGTTTGTGATGTTCTGGTGATGATTAAACGTTTCTGACATTCTCATCTTTGAGAGCACAGATTGAGAGCTGTGCTGAAATTAAAATCTCTTTAGATGTCGTGAAGAAAGTGAAACCATAACAGCACCAAGACTTCCTGAAAGGCTAACTTAACCTTAACAGCGAAACTGGAACCTGGCTCTGATGGTCTGCATGGGTTTGATCTGTGGAGGCGTTCTACTGCTGCGTCTAAAAGAAGGTGTTCCCTCAGTGGCTCACACACCATTAAAACTAATAATGAGACAAACAGCTGTGAGAATCAGCGGACAAGCCCCCAGGTGGCAAACGTTAGTCAGGTTACCTCTTCACATGACACAACAAGGTAATCAATGGAGTCAATGACCAGGTCTCCCAGCAACCCGCTTGAGAAGTCCAGATAAAGTCTGAGTTTTGGACGTGAATGTGAGCATCCAGGCTGAGTCAGTTTGGTTCTGATCAGTAGCTGGTTTACAGTTAAGAGAGTATTTATCATTACAATGTGTATATACATCCACCTTTTGTTAGTATTTGTTGTTTTTGTTGCATGCTCCTCCACAGAACCCAATGGGTCGGTACCATCAGCGCTGCTGCAGTTAGTACACCTCCTCTCTGTTGTGCTGTTAGTTGTTTCCTTTGGCGGCTTCCTTTAACAGCTCAAGAGAATGTGAATAAATGTTTTTGTTTGTGGTGGAGTCAGTGAAAGCAGCGCAGCGCAGGCAGCATTAGAACTGTACTACGGAGAACCTGGAACGGGTCAGACAGGATGGAAGGGGTCAGTCACTACAAGGTCCATTCATGCATTAGCTTTAGAGTCTGGGTCCAGGATCCATTAGCCCTAACCAAAAGTTCAAAGGGTACAAAATGGTACAATTTAGCATGATGCTCAGTGAAGCAGTTCAGATCTTATCTACAGGTGCTGGCCAGTAAATTAGAATATCATCAAAAGGTTGAAAATATTTCAGTAATTCCATTCAAAACGTGAAACTTGTACATTATATTCATGCAATGCACACAGACCAATGTATTTCCGATGTTTATTACGTTTAATTTCGATATTTATAGGTGACAACCAATGAAAACATCAAATCTGGTATCTCAGAAAATTAGAATATTCTAAAGGCCAATGAAAAAATGTTTGTTTCTCTAATGTTGGCCAACTGAAAAGAATGAACATGAAAAGAATGTGCATGTATAGCACTCAATACTTAGTCGGGGCTCCTTTTGCCTCAATAACTGCAGTAATGCGGCGTGGCATGGACTCGATCAGTCTGTGGCACTGCTCAGGTGTTATGAGAGCCCAGGTTGCTCTGATAGTCGTCTTCAGCTCCTCTGCATTGTTGGGTCTAGCGTATTGCATCCTCCGCTTCACAATACCCCATAGATTTTCTATGGGGTTAAGGTCAGGCGAGTTTGCTGGCCAATCAAGGACAGGGATACCATGGTCCTTGAACCAGGTGCTGGTGGTTTTGGCACTGTGTGCAGGTGCCAAGTCCTGTTGAAAGGTGAAGTCTGCATCCCCATAAAGTTGGTCAGCAGCAGGAAGCATGAAGTGCTCTAAAACCTCCTGGTAGACGGCTGCATTGACCCTGGACCTCAGGAAACAGAGTGGGCCAACACCGGCAGATGACATGGCACCCCACACCATCACTGACGGTGGAAACTTTACACTGGACCTCATGCAACGTGGATTCTGTGCTTCTCCGCTCTTCCTCCAGACTCTGGGTCCTTGATTTCCAAAGGAAATGCAGAACTTGCTTTCATCAGAAAACATAACTTTGGACCACTCAGCATCAGTCCAGTCCTTTTTGTCCTTGGCCCAGGCGAGACGCTTCTTGCGCTGTTTCTTGTTCAAGAGTGGCTTGACACACGGAATGCGACACCTGAATCCCATGTCTTTCATGAGTCTCCTCGTGGTGGTTCTTGAAGCGCTGACTCCAGCTGCAGTCCACTCTTTGTGGATCTCCCCCACATTTTTGAATGGGTTTGTCGTCACAATTCTCTGCAGGGTGCGGTTATCCCTAGAGCTTGTACACTTTTTTCTACCACATTTTTTCCGTCCCTTCGCCTGTCTGTTAATGTGCTTGGACACAGAGCTCTGCGAACAGCCAGCTTCTTTAGCAATCACCTTTTGTGTCTTGCCCTCCTTGTGCAAGGTGTCAATGATTGTCTTTTGGACAGCTGTTAAGTCAGAAGTCTTCCCCATGATTGTGGTGCCTTCAAAACAAGACTGAGGGACCTTTTAAAGGCCTTTGCAGGTGTTTTGAGTAAATCAGCTGATTAGAGTGGCAGCAGGTGTCTTCTATATTCAGCCTTTTCAGAATATTCTAATTTTTTGAGATACCAAATTTGGAGTTTTCATTAGTTGTCACTTATGAATATCAAATTTAAATGTAATGAACATTGGAAATACATTGGTCTGTGTGCATTGCATGAATATAATGTACAAGTTTCACGTTTTGAATGGAATTACTGAAATATTTTCAACCTTTTGATGATATTCTAATTTACTGGCCAGCACCTGTATAGTAGACACACCATTCTGGTCAAGAGTCAAACTAACAGCCAACCAGAACCAGAACCAGAACACCACAACAATTAGGATCAGTTAGCAACACCAACAACTGCCTATGGAAGCACCTTTATCTATGGAGAATCTTTAGAACAGCCTCTGATTAATAATGATGCCACCGTCACAAACTATAGACGGTTGTTCTTTCACTGTTTTTGGTTTTCCTTTTCATCAATTAAAGCACTTTGAATGTTCTAGAACCACCTCTGTCTGCAGAACCACCTCCGTCTGCAGAACCACCTCCGTCTGCAGAACCAGCTCCATCTAGAGAACCAGATCCATCTGCAGAACCAGCTCCATCTAGAGAACCAGATCCATCTGCAGAACCACCTCTGTCTGCAGAACCACCTCCGTCTGCAGAACCAGCTCCATCTGCAGAACCACCTCCGTCAGCAGAACCAGCTCCATCTAGAGAACCAGATCCATCTGCAGAACCACCTCCGTCTGCAGAACCAGATCCATCTGCAGAACCACCTCCATATGCAGAACCGGCTCCATCTTCAGAACTGGCTCCATCTGCAGAACCAGCTCCATCTGCAGCACCACCTCCGTCTGCAGAACCAGCTCCATCTGCAGAACCACCTCTGTCTGCAGAACCACCTCCGTCTGCAGAACCAGCTCCATCTGCAGAACCACCTCTGTCTGCAGAACCACCTCCATCTGCAGAACCACCTCTGTCTGCAGAACCACCTCCGCCTGCAGAACCACCTCCGTCTGCAGAACCACCTCCATCTGCAGAACCACCTCTGTCTGCAGAACCACCTCCGCCTGCAGAACCACCTCCGTCTGCAGAACCACCTCCGTCTGCAGAACCACCTCCGTCTGCAGAACCAGCTCCATCTGCAGAACCACCTCCGTCTGCAGAACCAGCTCCATCTAGAGAACCAGATCCATCTGCAGCACCACCTCCGTCTGCAGAACCAGCTCCATCTGCAGAACCACCTCCATATGCAGAACCGGCTCCATCTTCAGAACTGGCTCCATCTGCAGAACCAGCTCCGTCTGCAGAACCACCTCCGTCTGCAGAACCAGCTCCATCTGCAGAACCACCTCCGTCTGCAGAACCAGCTCCATCTAGAGAACCAGATCCATCTGCAGCACCACCTCCGTCTGCAGAACCAGCTCCATCTGCAGAACCACCTCCATATGCAGAACCGGCTCCATCTTCAGAACTGGCTCCATCTGCAGAACCAGCTCCGTCTGCAGAACCGGCTCCGTCTGCAGAACCGGCTCCGTCTGCAGAACCGGCACCATCTGCATCTATCCTAATCAGCTGTTAGTTTGATTCCACACCAACACTTTATCAAAATGGTTCATAACCTGATCCTGTATGAAACCTGATGAGTTGATTATTATTAATTTATAATGACTAATTTCCTCAATATTCATCAACACTTACATCACTGATCACCAATTACCATGGTATTGATCACTGTTTGCTTCATACTTGACCGCTGATCACCTTGGTATTGATTACTGATTACCTTGTAGTTATTATTTATTACTTTGGTATTGCTCACTAGCTACCTCATAGTTAAAGGTGTGATTCACTGAAAAACATGTTTTAATGCTTATCTCTGATTCTAACGGGTCACTCTGAGTGTTTCATGCAGGCTGAACATGAGAATACTCTCCTACACCTATCTCCTGCATTAGCTTCTGATAGAAAACAGACGGTGAAACTCTAGGATAGAAAATCCTGACAGATCTACGTCACACTGTCACTAACAATCATGAATCACCCTTCTGGACTCACAATGGGGAAGACTGTTCTCTACACCTTCATCTCCTTACGCTTAGACTACTGTAACTCTCTTTTCACGTGTCTGAGCAGAACCTCCCTGAACCGTCTACAGATGGTTCAGAACGCCTGTGCTCGGCATCTGACCAAGTCCTCCAAACACACCCACATCACCCCGCTTCTCCTCCAGCTTCACTGGCTGCCAGTCAACTTCAGGGTTCATTTCAAGATCCTGGTTCTAGTCTATAGGGCCTTACATGGACAAGCACCATCTTACATTGGTGATCTTCTTAGTCCCTACACCCCCAGCAGGTCCCTGAGGTCCAGTGACCAAAGCCTACTGGTTGTGCAGCGCACCAGGCTAAAGACCAAAGGTGACAGATCATTTGCTGCTGTGGCCCCCAGACTCTGGAACTCTCTCCCCCTGAGCCTGAGATCAGTGGACTCAGTGGTCTCCTTTAAAAAGCAGCTGAAGACTCACTTGTTCAAGCTGGCTTTTGTATGACCTTCTTCACTACTCTCTCTTTATTCTGCTCTCCCCACCTATTCCACCTTCCTCAGGATTCACTGATTTCCCTCTTTCCTATTCACTCTCTCTCTTTCTTAACATTTTCTTAATCACAATTGTCTATTTTTGCTCATTTTAGATATATTTTAAAACAAGATGGCGCCTGTGCTTGGCTTAGCCGCAGTCACCGGCCACTTTTTCAAACTTTTCTCCACTAACCACCTCTTTTCCACCTTGCTCCTATCTGCGGTCCTATTCAGTAGTGTCCCTGCTACCATGTCCTATGATCGCCAGACTCTTTTGTCCTTCCGTTCGTTCACGATCGCCCAAGATGCACCGAGGACGTACCATCCTTTTTGTCTACCTGAGCGGCGCACTGGCCCGGAGCCGAACGACGATCACGAGCTACGCACCTCCAGCTATGTTTGTCCGGTCCCGGGAAAACGTCGGAGGAAAAGAGGTAAACGAGCAGGAATCCAGGTGGGAATAAGACTTCTCTTAAAGTGTGGTTTATCTAGTAAACATCGGGGCGATCTTCTAGCTTCTTGTCCTTTATTTGGCGACTTGAGCGCCACTTCCGCATTCCCGCCAGGCCGCGTTGCAGCGCGGTTCATCCGTCCAAGTTTTTTAAGGTCGGTTTATCCTCATTCCTCAGTGGCTTCTCCTCCTGTTCCCTCCATAAGTGGTTTTTATAAACACCATGGATCTAACCCTGCTAATTTACGTCCACTAACTCCAGCTGTTTCTGTAGTTTCTGATTCCTCCACCTCACTCAGCATGGCTCTATTAAATACCCGCTCTGTTAACAATAAGACCTTCTTGCTCAATTCTCTCTAAAAATCTGGATTTTCTGTTTCTGACTGAAGTTTGACAGCAAACATCTTTCCTATTCTCTCTCTCTTTCTTAACATTTTTTATCACAATTGTCTGTTTTTGCTCATTTTAAATATATTTTTAAACATCTTCTAAATGCTTTTTTATATTTTTAAATTTTTTGTTTTTGTGAAGCGCCTCATGATTTTTATCTTGAGAGGCACTATAGAAATGAAATTTTCTTCTTCTTCTTGCTTACAAGGACACAGTCCTTCCTTGGTCAAAGAAAACGGTTAAATGGAACAGGTTTGCATCACGTGACCACGGCTTCCATGTTGGTCACGTAACGTCACGTGACACGGGAGACAACTATACAATTAATACATATTAGTTTCATTGCAAATATATAAAGAGACTTTTACTTTTTAAATTGTGTATATGTTTATTAAGTTAAAAATATAAGTGAGTTACTACCCGCTAGCCACCGAAGCTGCAACTACTAAGCAACTAACCAACCATAGATAAATTGTCCCAGAAGTAGCTGCCGGCTTCTGATCCGCCGTCCTTTTGAAAATACCACGGTGTATTCTGGGAAATTTTTGACCAAGGCTAAGCTACGAGACACGTCCCGTGTATCCTTGCTCAGCTAGCTAAATGGCTAACAAACGGAAAACACACGCCTCGGTAGAACATGAACATTGGAACATGTCTTGGCGGCTCCTGATGACGTATCTCCTAGGTAACCGGGGTGGGGTCAAGACATCAAGGCGAGGTTCCTTGGCATTGAGAAACACCCACAGAGTCAGTGGTAGAATTGTGTTGCTGTTAGCCAAACAGAAGAGAGATGTCCAAATGTCAGGAAGTAAAGCCTAACTTGTACTTCTGCGTCAGCTCCACCAGGAAGAGACATGCACGTAATTCACCCTCATACTTCTCCGTCTCCTGGGGAGTGTTGCAAAGCAATTCCCCGCCAGGACACCAGAGGGCGCAGCGCTGTTCTGGGGTATCCTGTCATGTATCCGGTCCAAGGTAGTGTGTTTATATTGTGTTTTTTGAATTTAAGAGACTTTTTAACACGGACACATTTTTCCCTCATCCTCCATCTCTTCATGCACTCGCTACCTCTAAACCCACGTTTGCCGTCATTTCCGTCCACGAATCAAACGCTTTTTTGCATTTCACTCATCCAGTCACAGGGGAATAAAACATTCATGTTTTTAAGGGTTTTCCGTGAGGTATTCTTCAAGCAGCTCCTCGTCTGCCTCTTGATATCGTCGGCTCTTTATGTTTTTGAGGGCACAATGGTGGTGCTGTAGATGACCAGTCGCAAGCTTGTGGTCTCTGTCTCGACGGACGGATGTTTAGAAAAGAGAGCTCGACTCTGTCCGTCCTTGCAAGGGCTCTCCAGCAAGCTCACAAGGGCGGATAATGGCGTTGCGTGTCTCCATCCCGACGCAGACGGAGAAGTACAAATTAGGTTTAAGACTTCAAATCCTGTCACGTTAAGCCCTCCTTTGATCTGGTAATCTTCTAGATCACAGGTTTCAAACTCCGGTCCTTGAGGTTTGCTATTCAACACGATTGAGTGTTTTCCCTGCTTCAACACACATGATTTCAATCAGCAGGTGATTAACAGGCTTCTGGAGAGCCTGATGAGCTGCTGCACAGGCGAATCAACTGTGTTGGAACAGGGAAACAACAAAAAGATGCAGGATAGCGGCACGACACCCCTGTTCTAGATCCTGAAATAGGTGCACCAGAGCTTTTGGTACCCTGAGTACAACTTCCAAGGCATTCATTTCTACTAAAGACCACTGGAAATGTATTGACTACATGAGTGAACCACACCTTTACCATTACACTGATATGATCTCCAGTTAAACTAGCTGTTGATCGCAAGTTACCACAGTATTGATTATAACCTAATCGGACTTAATCCTGGACCCAAACTCCTGTGAGATAAAACTCCAGCCCTCTTACCAATATATCCCTGGCCATTGTAGGGAATGCCAACACACTGAGAGGAGTCGCAGTATCCAGGAGGTCCAGGAGGGCCGCGGACTCCTGTGAAGCCTGGACGGCCAGGTGGGCCACGAGGTCCAGCGGAACCGGAAGGGCCTGGAGGTCCCATCCTGCTCTCTCCTGGAAGACCTGGTGGGAAAATCAGAGGCTGCATTTCTATTGGAACACTCAGAATTAGTACAGGTTTCTTCTTGATATGTTTAAAAAACAAAAGCAACCTTTAAGGTTGTTACGAAAGTCAGAGACTCGTCAGACTCTAACTGAATTAATGACATCTGGTGTTATTTACATCTGACTGTTGAGATCCAACAACAGTGCTATGGATGAAGATATCAGCTGGCTGCAGAAGCTCTGTTACATTGAAATGTTTTTTTGGGATTGCTTTTTAAATGGTACTTTCATTCTGGGTTGGGTGCTGAGCCATTTAGAGGATTTTTTAATGACATTTGAACACTTAAGAAACATTTTGGTCACTTGCTTTGATGCATTAACCATAATGAGAGACTTGCTCACAAGTGGAAACTGTTAAGTGACATCTCATTCACTCAAATAAAACCCAAATTATTTAAAGAAGAGAAGCCATGGATCTAGAACGGGAGCACAGTGGAGATTTGAGGAGGTTTAAATAACCACTTCTGAAATCTCCTGAAAACAAAGTGAATGAGCTTGTAGCGCTGATGAGGACCAAGCTAGAATACCGGGAATACAGTATCCTACGTTTCACTGAGACGTGGCTGCAGGACCAGAGTCAGAAGGGTTTTGTTACCATATGTGTGAACAGGTTCACCACATTAGGAAATTGCTGCAGTACTTGGTGCAAAAATAAGAATAAGAATATGAAATAATCACAATAAAATATTAATATACAGCTATGGCTAATATAAACAAGAGAGTTGTAGCGTACCCAAAGGAGCATTTACATAAAAAATGTACAGAAATGAACTTTTATTTTGCAGACACAAACATCCCATCTGTCTGGCCTCCAAACAAGAAACACCGCACAAGGCCTCGTCACCGGATAAGGAGACGCGATAATTCCCAGATACCTTATCTTGGCTGGAACAAAAGTCTCATGCAGAAGACGAGACCTTTGACTTTCACTCTGAATAAAGTTCATCTTCTTTGAATCATAAATTACTTTGCAACTTTAACCCTCCCACTGTCCTAATGGGTGTGACCCCGCGAGGAAAGTTGACCAATGAGTAGGGTTGATGGTTTATCCCTTGGGTCCATGTGGCAGGGGTGAGGAGTGAGCACCACCTCACCCCTGCCACACGGACCCAAGGGATAAACCATCAATCCTGCTCAATGGTCAACTTTCCTCGCAGGGTTACGCATAAAGACAGTGGGTTTTTATAATCAAATGTGTTGAATGAAGATGGTTAAATCCCAAAGTGTGTGAATAATGTGTGCTTTAATCAATGATGTGTTAAAATGAAAAATTTTCCTGCAACGATTCATTTCAGATCTGAAACCACACCAGATCAGTGTTTGTTGAGTTAACAAGTTCATCTATTAGTATACTCATACAGTACATCATAATATTAAAACTAATGTTCTAACAGTCACTCAGAGGTGGAAAGAGTACTAAAATTACCTACTTAAGTACAAGTACCAATACTTTGATAAATTTTTACTCAAGTAAAAGTAAAAAGTATTGTAAATAAATGTAATCAAAGTAAATGTTACTTAGTTACATTTTTGTCAGCGTAAGGATGGCTACATCTAAGTAGTGCTAAATCACAACGCCAGTTCACAATTTGCTCGTGTGTGCACGCACGCACACACACACACACACACACACACACACACACACACACACACACACACACACACACACACACACACACACACACACACACACACACACACACACACACACACACACACACACACAGTGTGACAGAATCCTTAAAAGAAGCTAGAGCGACTGCCAAATCCTCAGTGCTTATCCTGCTCGACTTATCGGCTGCATTTGACATTCAACCATGGCTTCCTTTTGTCCACACTCTCTAGCATGGGCATCACAAAGAAAGCACACGACTGGTTTGAATTGTACCTCACAGGACAATCATTCAGTGTACCTTGGCTTGGACAATCCTCTTCCGTGCAACAGCTTGCCACAGGAGACCCCCAGGGCTCTGTACTAGGACCTCTTCTCTTTGTCATGTACACCACCTCACTGGGTGAGATCAATCGATCACATGGCGCCTCCTACCACTGCTATGCAGACAACACCCAGCTCTATCTGTCATTTCCAGCGGACAACCACACTGTCCCTGCACGAATATCAAACTCTCTCTCTGACATATCAAAATGGATGAAATCCCACCATCTCCAACTCAACCTCTCTAAAACTGAACTACTTGTCATCCCAGCAAAACCATCCATACAGCACAATATCTCAATCCAAAATGACTTCCTATCTCTGGCTCCTTCAAAGGCAGTTCGAAATCTGGGTGTTGTGATCGATGAACGTCTGACCTTTAAAAGATCACGTTGCCTCTGTTGTTCGTTAATGCCACGTTGCGCTGTATAACATACAAAAGATCAGACCATACCTAACACAACATGCCACCCAGCTCCTGGTGCAATCTACAGTCATCTCCCGCCTCGATTATTGCAATGCCCTTCTACCTGGTCTTCCAGCCTGGACTGTGAGACCTCTTCAAATGGTCCAGAACGCAGCGGCGCGTCTGGTCTTCAATCAGCCAAAAAGAGCACACGTCACCCCTCTGTTCATTGAGCTCCACTGGCTACTGCTAGCTGCACGCATCAAATTCAAATTGCTAACACTAGCATACAAAGTCCGAGATGGTACGGCTCCCATCTACTTGAATCCCCTTGCAAAGGCTTATGTCTCGGCCCGGCTGCTCCAGTCATCACAGGATCGTCGGCTAGCAGTGCCTACACCACGCTCAGGACAATCCAGACTCTTCTCATGCATCGTTCCACAAATGTGGAATGACCTTCCAAGCACTACCAGAACAGGGGCTTCCTTTTCAATTTTCAAGAAACTCCTGAAGACCCTGCTCTTCAGAGAGCATCTTCTAAACTAGCAGCCTCCCTGCTCCCGTACCCACTCTTTACTGTCCACTCCTTGTTCCCTACTCTCCATGATTGATGTCAAGTTGTTGTTGTTATTGTTGTTGTTAGCCTCAAGGGCAACATGCCGATTATCACTTGTAAGTCGCTTTGGACAAAAACGTCTGCTAAATATATAAACATAAACATAGACACACACACACACACACGCACGCACGCACGCACGCACACACACACACACACACACACACATCATGACTAATTTAACTACACTGAACTGCTTTTGTAATACTTTAATCTCTTATTGTAAAATAAAGAAACAAGCTAAATCATCACATATCTGTGGCATCAAGAAGCAACTTCTGAGTTCAAACACAGGGCTGGAGCACAATGTTTACACCTGAACAGTATCAGGATGTTTTAACTCACAGAGGCCTGCAGGTCTTCTGTTTTATGAGTAAAACGCTGAGAATCCGCTTGTTATGAGCGCCAAACAAATGGCTGCTTGTCCTCATTATCAAAAGTGTACACACACGCCCCCACGGTTTAGACGCGGCGCTCATGCAGGTGTCTCTTTCTGTTCCGATGCTGCGACACGTGATATTTTAATGTATTAAGCCTACAATTTATTTTTATTCAGTAACGGATAAGATTTAAAATGTAGCGAATTACAATTCTTTTAAAAAAACGTACTCAACTAAAAGTAAAAGTACACATTTTAAAAATGACTTAAAAAGTATAAATACACATAAAAGCTACTCAATTACAGTAACGTGAGTAAATGTAATTCGTTACTTTCCACCTCTGCATTCACTTCACACCGAGGGTTAACCTCTGAGGATCTGAGGAAAGGTGTGACTTTCTGAGGTATTTTGGTAACGCCTCTTAAATTCTGATTTAGCAAATTTATAAACAAAAGTTGATAAATACAGGAATTCCTTCTTGAGCTAGTTGGTTTTCCCACTGCAACCCGGTTCAGCCGACCGGAGAGCAAGCATTTGGACCCATCCTATCTTTTGACTCCAAGGTCAAAGCGTCTCTGCAACACGTGGAAGTGATGTCAGACACAAAGGCTCTTAAGAGCCACCGAACAGCCTCAGCTGCAGCTTCCTGTTGTCACGTGAAGATAACCCAGACTAGAAGGGTCATATTCTGAGCTGGCTACAAGTTCAGGTATCAGAGGTCCATGGCACCGGAAGTGTCCATCTCAACATCCTAACCCCTGGATCGCATGGAGATCTTCACACAAGGGGGTGTAGATCAGCACAATTTGGCTGTATGGCTTGATAAGCTAAAATTTATTTAAAAAAACATCCAATGCTATTTGTGTAGGTCTGTGCACACAGGAAGTACATCCGCTGCTGGGCCTTTTTTATGATGGAGGCGATGGTGGGCTCCCACTTGAGGTCCTGGGTGATGGTGTTGTCCAGGAAGCGACATGAGTCCACCATCATGATGGGAGGGTCAGACAAGGTTATGGGAGGGAGGGGGGAGGGGGGGGGGTGCTGTGTGCTTCCTAAAGTCCACACCAACCTCCGCTGTCTTCTGGGTGTTTAGCACCAGGACACCAGCTGTTTCACCTCCTTGTGTAGGCAGACTCATCCCCGTCAGAGATGAGTCCAATGATGGTGGTGTCGTCTGCAAACTTGATAAGCCTGACAGACTTGTGTTGGAGGTGCAGCTGTTGGTGTACAAGATCAGAGGGGAGAGGACACAGCCCTGAGGGGAACCGTTGCTGATGGTCTGCAGGTCAGAAACATTCTTCCCCATCCTAACATGCTGCTTCCTGTTCACGTTCATCTGGGACAGTTTGACTTGGAGAAAGTCTGGGAGGACTGTGCTGAAGGCAGAGCTGAAGTCCACCAACAGGATCCTGGCGCAGGTACCCGGGGAGTCCAGATGCTGCAAGATGAAGTGTAGAGCCATGTTGATGGCATCATCTACAGATGTTGGCTCTGTAGGTAAACTGCGGGGGGTCCAGAAGGGGTCTGTGAGGGTCTTGAGATGGAGGGGCTTCCAATTGGTGAGTAGAAATTGGAACCAGCTTTAGCTTTCTCTGAGATTCCACAACAGAATGACACCATAAAGACCAATGCTATTTTTAGATTATCCATCCATCCATCCATCCATTTCCAACCGCTATTCAAACACAAATGTGTGCCAGGTTCCAGTTAGCTTCCCCACCAAGCTAACTGTCAGCAGCTCTTAACTAGTTAACTAGTTAAGACTGGACCTGTTGTAAACCAGGTAATGTGGACTTGTACCTGGAGGCCCCCTTGGTCCTTTCTGTCCAACTCCAGGAACTCCTCGGTCACCTTTCTCTCCTGCAGGACCTGAAGGTAGCACAGAGTCACGTGACTTCCAGTAGTTGTACATTCTAACTTTGCACAGATGCTTAGAATGAGGATGGGTTAGGATTAGGATGGGTTTTCCTACATAGGAAACTAAATGAACTGAACTCAATGCACTGATAAGTTCAATTATAATATTACTTTGTCAAGTGCCTTGAGACCATTCTTGTTATCATTTGGTGCTATACAATAAACTGAGTTGAGTTTAAATATACCTCGCTCTCCTGGCTGGCCTGATAAACCAGGGCTTCCAGGGAATCCACTCCTTCCTGCTGGACCCGGTTCCCCTCGGGGTCCCTGATTGCCCTGAGCTCCAGGAGGCCCAGGGGGACCTGGATTATTGCTGCGGTACATGCCATTGGGGATCTGGTTCAATAATGTGCTGACACGAGACATTTGGTCTAAAACAAAGAAAGAAATGTTACGAGTAAATGGCAACAGGTCAACGGTTTGAGAACTAGTCGACAGAACCACCCACCATTCACAATCTGTGAACAGATTTGTCTGGCAACGGATCGCATCATGTTCTGAGGAGCAAAGTCGCCCTGAAACAAAATCATAATGTTTTAGATTGGAGAGCCTTCTGACCCACAATGCTTTGCACAATAACCCACTTCTTGTGTTTGGGCCTGAGAGGCTCAGTGGATATTCTGAGCTGAATGAGGAGATTAAAAGAGTCATTAAGACATCAGGTTCCAGCTAGTTGTTTAAACAGCAAGTTCTGAGATTCAGCCTGAAACAAATGGTTCAACTTCACTAATGGTTCTGATGGTTCACTCATAACCAAACAGAATAGAAGAAGAAGAAGATAATATATTTTCTATAGCGCCTCTCAAGATAAAAACCACGAGGCGCTTCACAAAAACAAAAAATGTAAAAAATATAAAAAATAATTTAGAAAGTGGTTAAAAATATATTTAAAATGAGCAAAAATAGACAATTGTGATTAAAAAATGTTAAGAAAGAGAGAGAGAGTGAATAGGAAGGAGGGAAATCAGTGGATTCTGGGGAAGGTGGAATAGGTGGGGAGAGCAGAATAAAGAGAGAGTGGTGAAGAAGGTCATACAAAATCCACTTTGAACAAGTCAGCCTTCAGCTGCTTTTTAAAGGAGACCACTGAGTCCACTGATCTCAGGCTCAGGGAGAGAGAGTTCCTGAGTCTGGGGCCACAGCAGCAAATGATCTGTCACCTTTGACCTTTAGCCTGGCGCTGCAAAACCAGTAGGCTTTGGTCACTGGACCTCAGGGACCTGCTGGGGGTGTAGGAACTAAGAAGATCACCAATGTAAGATGGTGCTTGTCCATGTAAGGCCCTATAGACCAGAACCAGGATCTTGAAAAGAACCCTGAAGTTGATGGGGGTACGATGTGGAGGGGGCATGCAGAGGTCTTCATAGAGTTAATTAGTTTGGTTAACTCAGGTAAAGAAACAGGAGCAAAGCTATCTAGGATGATGGGCCTGGTTGGAGTCGGGAGAGGCAGCGATAAGGCTGAAGGAGAGATGCTAGATCTAACCTTATTGACTTTGTCTACAAAGAAAGACAGAACATTCTCACTATCTGCAACAGAGTGGATGGAGGCTTTAGGAGAAGCAGGAGAGACGATGCTGCTGATGGTGTTAAACAGCACCTTGGGGTTCCCTTTGCTCTGGGACACCAGGTTGGAAAAATAGGAAACCCTAGCATCTCTGACTGCAGAGTTAAAGGATGTCAGAAGATCCTTTAGGTGCAGCAGATGGACGTGGAGATGGGTTTTCTTCCACAAACGCTCAATTTTTCTGCATTGGCGCTTCAGGCTGCGAAGGCTGTCATTAAACCAGGGAGTAGGGTTCACTGCAGGAACTGATTTGGTTCTGACAGGACAGATGTTGTCCATAATGGAGAGGCAGTGCTCGTTAAACTGAGAAGTTAAGGAATCTGGGTCGTTATCAGAAGAACAGGGTGGATCAAAAGCAGCAGAAAAATTGCTAGCTGTGCTCTCATCAAGAAAACGAGAACTAACCATACGGCGAGCAGGAGGTGGGGACGCAGAAACTGACAAGTTAAAGAAAATGCAATGGTGATCTGAAATATAAACGTCCTCAGGACAAACACTGTCAGCATTTAGACTCAGGGTAAAAACAAGGTCCAGAGTGTGTCCCCAGGTGTGTGTGGGGCCAGAAACATGCTGGATAAAACTGACGAAGTCCATCAGGCTGGAGAAATTCATGGCAAAGTGATCAGAGGGATCATCAACGTGGATGTTAAAATCACCAACAATCACTAGTCTGGACAGCTTCACAGTGGAGGATAGAAAGTCACTAAACTCCTGAAGGAAAGAACTGTTTGGATCAGGTGGACGATAGACCACAGGACAGTAGAACGGGTCCTTATGCCCGACTTTAATCAGCTGCAGTTCAAAGAAAGCAAAGTGACCAGAGGTTGTAGAGCTACATGGAAAATGGTCTCTGAAAACAACAGCTAGGCCTCCACCACAACCAGAACCCCGGGGCTGGCTAAGAAATGATTAACCACTCAGGCAGAGTTCAATCAGACCAGAATAATCAGATGTTTGCTGCCAAACTTAAGTCAGAAACAGAAAATCCAGGTTTTTGGAGAGAATTAGATCATTGAGCAGGAAGGACTTATTTTTAACAGAGCAGGTATTTAATAGAGCCATGCTGAGTGAGGTGGAGGAATCAGAAACTACAGAAACAGCTGGAGTTAGTGGACGTAAATTAGCAGGGTTAGATCCACGGTGTTTATAAAAACACGGGGGCAGCGTGCTTTTGTCTATGCTGCTCCGACACTCTGGAATGCTCTTCCTCTTTCAGTGAGGCAGGCACCATCCCTCCTCCGGTTCAAGTTGCTATTTACGGCTCACTTTTACGACCAGGCATTTTTAAATCCCTGACTTTTATTATTTTATTATGTGTCTTTTATTGACCGTGATTATCTGCCTTGTTGTGCATTTTATTGTTGACCATGTATTGTTTTATATTGTGTTTTTACTTTCTATTCTGTACAGCACTTTGGTCGGCTGCCATGCCGTTTTAAAACGTGCTTTATAAATAAAGTTGGTATGGAATGGTATGGTATATTTGCTGTCCTGGAAAACCTTTAGTCTCTGATTTCATCAACCTTGTGAACTCTTTGACTTTACGCAGTGGATTAATGGGGCCACACAGGAATGTGGCCACACACTGGATCTTGTGTTATCACTGGGGTGTTCAGTAGATAATCTGACTATTAAGGATGCAGTTTTTTCAGACCATAATCCAATATTATTTGAGACTACTCTGCATAGCAATTTGCTGGCACCTGTTGCCCCCAGTAGGTATAGTCGTCATGTGAACTCTGACACTGCAACTCATTTCACTTTGCTGTTTGAACAAGCCTTCTTTGATTTATCAGACAAGTCCTCACTGGATGGATTGCTTACTTGTTTTAATGAGACTCATTGGCTGCCCATTGATGTAAGGATTTGTTTTAAAATACTCTTATTGGTTTTTAAAACATCAAATGGTTTGGCCCCAACTTACTTGGTGTCACTGCTTCAACCGTACACCCTTGCACGGTCACTCCGCTCGGAGAACCTCATGCTCCTCTTGGTCCCAAGAACGCGCCTAAAGACACGTGGTGATAGGGCCTTTGCTGTGGCAGGTCCTAATCTTTGGAACGAGCTTCCTCTCAGCATAAGGGCCTCCACCTCTGTTGCGGTTTTTAAGGCAAGGCTAAAAACCTACTTTTATGATCTGTCTTTTAACCTTTCTAACTAGTTTTATTGTTTTACTCATAGCAATCTGTGTACTCACTGCATTTTTTATCTGTATCTTGTGATACAGTGTTTTTATTTTCTGGACTTAATGTTTTATGTTTTTTACTTGATCAGTGTAGCGCCTTGGTGGCATCTTTTTGCCTGTAAGGTGCGATTTACAAATAAAGTTGAGTTGATTGAGTTGAGTTTTTAAGTGTCTTAATGGCCTTGAGCCCTCATCTCTCAGACCTGCTTTTACCATATAAGCCCTCACAGCATCTGCGCTCCTCTGGCAGCCGTCTCCTTGTCCCTGAGGCCAGGAAACATGGCGGCGGCCTACTGGTTGTGCAGCACCAGGCTAAAGATCAAAGGTGACAGACCATCTGCTGCTGTGGCCCCCAGACTCTGGACCTCTCTCCCACTGAGCCTGAGATCAGTGGACTCAGTGGTCTCCTTTAAACTCGCCTGTTCAGGCTTTGGTGGGACCTTCATCACCTCCCTCTCCATATTCTGCTCTGTCTACCTATTCCTCCTCTCCCACAATCCAATGATTTCCCTCTTTCCTGTTCATTTTATCTCTCCCTTTCCTCACTTAAAAAAAATATATATATATTTTAATGTAAATCCTTCACAAAGTTCATTATGTCCTCTTCTTAAATACTTAATCAGGTTCTTTTTGGATTTGGACGTGTAAGGTTGTGTTATGAATTTACCTTGACATGTTTCAACTGACGCCTGCGGTTAGGGTTAAGGTTTTAATAGGGTTAGGGTTACGGGTTAAAAAGGGAGAATTTGTCCCCTTAAATGCAGCATTCAGGGAAAGCCTCACATGGTTCTACTGTAAAGTACTTATAAATGGTGCTTATAAAAAAGACTCCAGATAACTCCAGTTTACTTACTCTTTCTCCTTTGTCCCCTTTTGGACCAATGGCTCCCTGAAAGGGAAATATCAACCTGTTTAAACTGCAGGACTGAAAGTGTTGGTTTCTAAAAGCACCATGGCACTCACAGAAAGACCAGATTCTCCGGGATTTCCAGGTTTTCCTGTAGGTCCTGGTATTCCAGGAGATCCTGGCGGGCCCTGCATTGAAACTAAAGCTTGTGAGTTGTGATTAAATGTGGGGTTTTCTGAATGATGACCTTGATATTCAGATCTAAATAAGTCAAATAGGTTGAAGTCTCACAATGGGTCCAGTTGGTCCTCTGGGTCCAGTTGGTCCGTCTTTTCCAGGAGGCCCCTGAATGTATACAATCCAGCTTAAAAAACAGAGTTTTTTTTCCTGACACATTTCAAAACCAGATTGTGTAGACTCACCCTTACACCAGCAGGTCCAACTGGGCCAGCAGAACCTGAGACACCCGAAGAACCCTGTAAATAGATGAAAGGCCATCTCAAAGGGAGTCAGACCATCTCTGGTAGACTTAGGTGAGTTTGTTTAGGTTCAACATCAAAATTTCACTTGAGCCCTTACAAGACACAGTTCCAGCAAATCTGTGTAAAATTACTGCAACAAAGTGTCTTATAAACGCGCAATGCTGGCATGACGTTCAGCTAGTTTTGCTGCATTGGCTCCGCCTCGCTTGGTAGTAATATTGCAAAAATTGTCTTCCTCAGAAGCAGTGATTGCGCCTTGGCGCAACAGAGGGAGGTGTCATGAGAGTTACTGCCAAGCTTCAGCCGGCATCTATAATGAAACTGAAAATAAACCTGAGCTGTAAATTTTGCTTTTTGAAAAAAATCAGCTGAGATGGCAAACTGGAGCATCGCAGCTTCTGTCTGTTAGAGCTGGACGTCAGTACACCAGAGACTGCTCGGTTGAGAACAGACACCTTTAGGAGCAGCTTGTTAAAAATGTTATCACGGCTTCAATGGCAATAAAAACCAAGTTCTGTCCAAGATGAATGGGAGTCTGCATCATGCTTAAGGAGAACATGCTAATTCCATACATGTCTATGGAGAACATGCTAACTCCACACACGCTTAGGGAGAAAAACGCTAACTCCACACATGCTTAGGGAGAACACGCTAACTCCATACATGTCTATGGAGAATGTGCCAACTCCACACATGCTTAGGGACAACACGCCAACTTCGCACATGCTTAGGGAGAACACACCAACTCTATACATGTCTATGTAGAACACACCAGCTCCATACATGCTTAGGGAGAAAACACTAACTCCATACATGTCTAAGGAGAACACGCTAACTCCACACATGCTTAGGGAGAACATGTTAACTCCATACATGTCTATGGAGAACATGCTAACTCCACATATGTTTAGGGAGAACACGCTAACTCCATACATGCTTAGGGAGAGCATGTCATCTCCACACATGCTTAGGGAGAACATGCTAATTCCATGCATGCTTGGGAAGAACATGCTAATTCCATACATGTCTATGGAGAACACGCTAATTCTATACATGTCTATGGAGAACACGCCAACCCCACACATGCTTAGGAAGAACATGCTAAATCCACTCAAGATTAAGAACATGCTAACTCCACACATACTTATGGAGAACATGCTAACTCCACACATGCTTATGGAGAACATGCTAATTCCATGCATGCTTAGGAAGAACGTGCTAATTTCATACATGTTTATGGAGAACACGCTAACTCCACACATGCTTCGGGAAAACACGTCAAGTCCACACATGCTTATGGAGAACACGCTAACTCCCCGCACGCTTAGGAATCCATCCATTCATCCATTTTCATCCGCTTATCCGGAGTCGGGTCGAGGGGGCAGTAGCCTAAGGCGAGAGGCCCAGACTTCCCTCTCCCCAGCCACTTGGGCCAGCTCCTCCGGAGGAATCCCAAGGCGTTCCCTGGCCAGGTGAGAGACATAGTCCCTTCATCGTGTCCTGGGTCTACCTTTAGGTCTCCTCACGGTTGGACATGCCCGGAAAATCTCACCAGGGAGGCATCCAGGAGGCATCCTGACCAGATGCCCGAGCCACCTCAACTGGCTCCTCTCGATGTGGAGGAGCAGCGGGTCTACTCCGAGGCCCTCCTGAATGACCGAGCTTTTCACCCAATCTCTAAGGGAGAGCCCAGCCACTCTTTGGAGAAAACTCATTTCGGCCACTTGCATCCGCGATCTCGTTCTTTCGGTCACTATCCAAAGCTCATGACCATAGGTGAGGGTAGGAAGGTAGATCGACCGTTAAATCGAGAGCTTCGCCTTCTGACTCAGCTTTCTCTTCACCACAACAGACCGGTACAACGCCTGCATCACTGCAGATGCAGCACCAATCCGCCTATCGATCTCACGCTCCAGTTTTCCCTCACTCGTGAACAAGACCCCGAGATACTTAAACTCCTCCACTTGGGGCAGGACCTCATCCTTGACCCGGAGAAGGCATTCTACCCTTCTCTGAATCAAGACCATGGTCTCAGATTTAGAGTAGCTGAATCTCATCCCAGCTGCTTCACACTCGGCTGCGAACCGCTCCAGCGAAAGCTGAAGATCACGTTCTGATGAAGCCAACAGGACCACATCATCTGCAAAAGCAGAGACCTGATCCTCAGGCCACCAAAAGGGATGCCCTCCACACCTTGGTTGCGGCTTGAAATCCTGTCCATAAATGTTATGAACAGAATCAGTGACAAAGGGCAGCCTTGGCCGAGTCCAACAATCACTGGGAACGAGCCCGACTTCCTGCCGGCAATGCGGACCAAACTCTGACACTGGTCATACAGGGACCTAACAGCTCATATCAGAGGGCCTGGTACCCCATACTCCCAGAGTACCCCCCACAGGGCCCCACAGGGCCCCCCGAGGGACGCGGTCAAACGCCTTCTCCAAATCCACGAAACACATGTAGACTGGTTGGGCAAATTCCCAAGCACCCTCCACGATCCCCTTAAGGGTATAGAGCTGGTCCAGTGTTCCACGGCCAGGAGGAAAACCACATTGCTCCTACTGAATCTGAGGTTCAACAATCAGACAGACCCTCCTCTCCAGAACCCCTGAATAGACCTTACAGGGAAGGCTCAGGAGTGAGATCCCCTTGTAGTTGGACCACACCCTGCGGTCCCCCATTTTAAATAAGGGGACCACCACCCCGGTCTGTCAGTCCAGTGGGACTGCCCCCGATGTCCACGCGATATTGCAGAGCCGTGTCAGCCAACACAGCCCCACAACATCCAGAGCCTTACGGAACTCCGGGCGGATCTTATCCACCTCTGGAGCCCTGCCACAGAGGAGCTTTTAACCACCTCAGTGACCTCAGCACCAGAGATTTGAGAGGCCAACCCAAAGTCCCCAGACTCTGCTTCCTCACTGGAAGACGTGTCGGTGGGATTGAGGAGGCCTTCGAAGTATTCTGCCCACCGATTCACAACATCCTGAGTAGAGGTCAGCAGCACACCGTCCCCACTATAGATAGTGTTGGTAGTGCACTGCTTTCCCCCCCTGAGGCACCGGATGGTGGACCAGAATCTCCTCGAAGCCATATGGAAGCCTTGCTCCATGGTCTCACCGATCTCCTCCCATGCCTGGGTTTTTGCCTTGGTGACCACCCGAGCCGCGTTCCGCTCGGACTGCCGGTACCCGTCAGCTGCCTCTGGAGTCCCACAGGCCAAAAATACCTGATAGGACTCTTTCTTCAGCTTGACAGCATCTCTAACCGCCGGTGTCCACCAGCGGGTTCGGGGGTTGCCATCACGACAGGCACCAACGATCCTGCGACCACAGCTCCGGTCAGCCCCCTCAACAATGGAGGCACGGAACAGGGTCCATTCAGACTCAATGTCCCCCGCCTCCCCCGGAACATTTTGGAAGTTCTGTCGGAGGTGGGAATTGAAGCTCCTTCTGACAGGAGACACTTCCAGATGTTCCCAGCAGACCCTCGCGATACATTTTGGCCTGCGTGGTCTGACCGGCATCCTCCCACCATCTGAGCCAACTCACCACTGACAGCTCCACCCCTCTCTTCACCCGAGTGTCCAAGACATGCGGCCGCAGGTCAGATGAAACAACAATAAAGTAAATCATCGAGCTGCGGCCTAAGGTATCCTGGTGCCAAGAGCACATATGGACACCTTTATGTCTGAACATGGTGTTCATTATGGACAATCCACGACTGGCACAGAAGTCCAATAACAAAATACCACTCAAAATCAGATCAGGGGGCCGTTCCTCCCAACCACACCTCTCCAGGTCTCACTGTTGTTGCCCAAGTGAGAGTTAAAGTCCCCCAGCAGAACAAGGGAGTCACCGGAAGGAGCACTCTCCAGCACCCCCTTCAAGGTCTCCAAAAAGGGTGGGTAGTCTGAACTGTAGTTTGGTGCATAAGCACAGATCACAGTCAGAACCCGTCCCCCCACACGTAGGCGGAGGGAGGCTACCCTCTCATTCACTGGGGTAAACCCCAATGTACAGACACCAAGATGGGGGGCAACTAGTATGCCCACCCCTGCTCGGTGCCTCTCAGTGGGAGCAACTCCAGAGTGGTAGAAAGTCCAACCCCTCTCAAGGAAACTGGTTCCAGAGCCAGAGCTATGCGTTGAGGTAAGTCCGACTATATCTAGTCGGAGCCTCTCAACCTCACACACCAACTAAGGCTCCTTCCCACCAGAGAGGTGACATTCCATGTGCCAAGAGCCAGCTTCTGTAGCCGAGGATCAGACCGCCAAGGTCCCTGCCCTCGACTACCACCCGTCACACACTGCACCCGACCCCTTTGGCCCCTCCCACGAGTGGTGAGCCCATGGGAAGGGGGACCCACGTTTCCTCTTCGGGCTGTGCCCGGCAGGGCTCCATGGGTGAAAGCCCGGCCACCAGGCGCTCGCCAATGTGCCCCACCACCAGGCCTGGCTCCAGAGGGGACCCCGGTGACCCACATCCGGGCGAGGGAACATGGTTTTCAATTATATAATTTATCATAAGAGGTCTTCGGACTGCTCTTTGTCTGATCCCACACCTAGGACCTGTTTGCCATGGGTGACCCTACCAGAGGCAGAAATCCTCAGACAACTTAGCTCCTAGGATCATTGAGACACTCAAACCCCTCCACCACAGTAAAGTGGAAGCCCAGGGAGAGGCGCACGCTTAGGAAGACCATGCTAATTCCAAACATGTCTATGGAGAACACGCTAACTCCATACATGTCTATGGAGAACACGCCAACTCCACGCATGCGTAGGAAGACCATGCTAATTCCACTCAAGCTTAAGAACATGCTAACTCCACACATGCTTATGGAGAACATGCTAACTCCATGCGGAAAGGCTGCAGCTGGGGTCAGATCTGCACCTCCATGCAACCTGAGTATTGCCATCTGTTAGTAATAATCTAATTTGGAATTTTTAATAGCCCATCTGCGAGGTTCTACCTGACTTTGCTCTGTCATGACTATATACTGAGCTTAAGTTTTTTCTGCTGAAGACGGAGGTTTTGTTAGTTAAGCAGGATAATGTTTCCAGCTCATTAAACCAGATTATGTTCAGTTTCTCATCCTGACTGCTCATTGAATCATCTGTCTCTTTGTGATACCAGATAAAACAGACAACACTTTTTCAGTCTGGATGGATCCAAAGTCTGAATTAATTTCAGCTATAATTTAATTGAAACATAATTTTCAGCTGCAGACTTGTTCCTTTGATCCTCCAAGTCTCCCACAGATGGAAAAGCACCAGGAGTAGCAGCATGGCCCAACTCCAGAACAGTAGCCAAAGCAACAGTGGCCTGTTTCCAGTCTCAACCAAAACCAGAAATGTACTCACTTTTTGTCCGGGCAGGCCGGCATCACCAGGGTCCCCCTTGGGTCCAGGACGACCCTGCAGGTAGAGAACAGCAGTGAGAACGAGTCAACAGGTAGAACAGAGCAGGTCCGAGATTGTCCAGAGAAAGGTTTTGATAGTTTAGCATTTTTATTAGTTTTTATTTTTATTTAGTTTGATTCATTTTTACAAATGTGTGTGTGTGTGTGTGTGTGTGTGTGTGTGTGTGTGTGTGTGTGTGTGTGTGTGTGTGTGTACATACATATGTACATGTGTGTTTGTTTGTGTGTGTGCATAAATGTGTGTGCGTGCGTGCGGGCGCACGTGTGTGTGTGTGTGTGTGTGTGTTTAGACATACAGCCTCGCCAGGAATAGACATCCCACTGGGTCCCTGAGGTCCAGGCAGACCCATGGGCCCGGGAGGCCCGTTTTCTCCCCGCTGCCCAACTGGCCCCTGTGGGGTACAGAGAACAGGATGGAACCGGAACAAAAGTCTGTTCTTTAGAGGATGAAGCAATAAATGTACTCACAGCAGAACCGGGCTCTCCTCTTTCACCTCGGGGGCCTTTGCTGCCAGGAGCTCCCTGAGAATAAAGTAATGGACCCAGAACCTCAGAGAGTATTCAGCCCATAACCTGACGAGTCTAAATGAACATTCTTCTCATCACTGACTCTGCTCACTACATTTCCCACAATGCAACAGGTTCAGATCATTTCTCTTTGGTAAGAGAAAAGTCAGTTAGACCTGAATTATCAAATCTGCTGCAGGTAAGCACGACCATCCAGATTAGATTTAAATGAAATGAGAGCAGCAATTAAAGGAATGATGATCTGGTTTGGGTCTCAACATAGTCCTGTGACCTGGTTCTGACCCAGGTTGATCCTGTTCATGCGGAAGCATGGAGGAATGCTCTCAAGCAGACTTTCATAGGAGTTCTGAACAGCAGAAGACCATCCTCACCACTGGTCCTTGTGGGCCCGGCTGTCCGGTGGCCTCTGATGTGCAGGTACAGGCATTAGGGAGGGAGGGGCACTTCAGCTCATCTCTCTGCAGAAGCATAACAGTCACAGGTGGAGTCCAAGTCAAAAGTCATCTTTATTAGACCCGTACAATCCACAGCAAGCTTCTAAACACTGTTCTCCGAGAACTGGTGGGCATCATTACACGGAATTATGTTTGAAGGTATGATTTAGAGTCCTGAGGGTTGAGGAAACGAAATCAGGATGAAGAAGGCTGTCTGTCCTGTGAAACGTCCTGCAGTCGGAGCTCTACTCTGTGACTTTAAGACAACTATATTTCTTTACTGAGACAAACGTTGTGGTTTTAAATCTGGATGCTCTGAGGAAGGAGGAGGAATGAAGGAACACCTTAAAAGCCACGTCTGTCTAAAGGAAAAGGAGTATGAGATTATAAAGAAGACAAAATGAACTTCTTTATTGTGTCTTCATAATAAAACAGAAATATGAGACACAGCTGCATAAAGTAACATAAAACTAATGAAATGATTCCTTCAAAGACCAAACGAGACCAGTAGAAGAATCTGGACCGGATGCCATCTAACTCCAGGTTCACACAGCTGAAGCTGATGCACGTTTCCTCCAGAGTTCTGCTGAGCGGTGCCTGCTACTGCTGGGCTGTCCTGTATGTTATGGTCTGTTGAAAGCACCGCAGAACTCACTAAGATGTTAATGTGGTTAAACTCCTCAGATAGTCTTGGAAGACCTTTGAGAGGATGCTTCGCTGCATCAGAGCAGCCTGGAAGCTCCTCCACTTTCACTAGTGTTTGAACTGAAGTCCACTACTGACTTTAAATGTAAACTTATAATTATAATGCATCCCTTTTCAAAAATGTATGTTGTTGTTAATATTATTTGAATTTGACTTCATGTATGCTAGAATGAGGCCTGAGAACCCTGATTTAATTCATCCTATAAATGACAACAAACATTTGTAGCTACTTAAAAAACCTTTTCCTTAGTAGCCTTATATTTAATGCTGTTGTTCCAGCCTTTTTCTGAAATATGTTATTTGCATGAGACATTCCGTCATCCCAAAACTAAGACGCTTGGATTCGATGAAACCCCGCCTCCACTCGTGTGAACTCCACAACAGACTCACACCGTCATGTCCCAGTCAGCAAATGCCGAGTGCCGCTTTCAGGTGTTTTTGGTTAGAAAATAAAATTACTTAGTCAAAAGCTCCAGAGTGGTCACTAAAACATCTAAACCTTGTTTGTCTGCTGTCATTCACTTCCTGTTTCCTAGTGACTACAACCAGATTCCAGCTGAACCTGTAAGCTCATCAGAACAACCAGATGAGCTCATTTTCTCTGGTAAAAAACAAACTGCTGCTAAGAAATTAGCGTTATCTTCCCAAATGAACAGACGTGGACTCTTTTAGACAGCTGAGAGCTTCATGATCCTGAAGCGTTGTGTAAACATGTGCAAACACAAAATTCAGCACATTTTTCTTCTGACAATCATTTATCAGATGACCTCATTCTGTCTAAGGTTTCTAGGTTAGGGTGAAACCCGTTGTAATCGCACAATCTGCTTTGCTCTCCCATCGAGAAAAAGGATTTGATTTAGTTTGTGAAAACTTCTCGTCTGCAAGCCAAAAGCTCCGTCAGACATTGGTTCTCTGCTGAAACTGGACCCGGGATCTCAGACTGGTTCTGAACTCAGAGTCTTTTCTTACCGTAGACGGCAGGTCACAACATCTGTCCCTGCTGTTCCAGGCCAAGCTGCAGACAATGTCAAACATCTGGAGTTGGAACTAAAGGGGGAGAGCAGAACATGGAAATGGCGTGAAGCTACACGTGTCTGATCACATCTCTGAGAACAAACAGAACAACAGAACCAGATCACACTCCAGCTGGTGCCAAACAGAGACTTTGTGATCCAGATGGACCGCTGCTGCTGAATAGCACTCTGAGACGAGGGGGAGGAGTCAAAAACGAGTGGCTTAAAAACACCTGAGCAGGTGATCAGGTTGTAAGTGAAGGTGGACTGTTATTTCATCTTCCATCAAAGCGAATGCTGACTCACCGATGCAGACTCTCCTTTGGAACCAATGGATTTGGACATCTTCCCCAAAACCTGGTAGCCGTCACGAGATGTGTTCCCAGCAGCTGTGATCTCCTTCTCAGCTGCTTCCTGGCAGTCCACCATGAGTCTGACGCTGGTGGATGAAACCAGGATGTGGAGCTTTGAAGACAAAAGCAGATCATTTATTCCTCTGAGTGTGAGGGGTTTTTGCTGCTGTGGGGTGTGAGTCTAACATCTAAATGTTGAGCAGAGGCTTGATCAGATCCTCTCTGCTTGTTGAAAATAGGACAGCCAATAACCTTCAGAGATGGTACTGCTGTACTGAACATGAAGATTTGGATCAGACAGAACCCTGAACAGATTCATGGAAGCTTTCTGCTGCTTCAGAACAAATCTGAGACATCTGGAGAATCAGACATGCTTTCCATTCAGTTACACGACAGCTCTAGAAGACACCACGTGCTCTGAAAGGTTCAGCTTTTCTTCCCGTTTAGTGAAGCTCCATCTCAAATGAGCATGTGCAGCATAAATCCCACCTTTCTGATCAAAGAGGCTTAAGAACCCTTCTTTGTTCCAAGGTGATAAAAATAAACCCAGACTATCCAACAACAGGAAATGAAACTTGAGTCGGTTTAATACTCAGGGGTCGGCAACCTTTTCCAATCAAAGAGCCAAAATGACCCATTTCCCACAGTAAAGAAAACACTGGGAGCCACAGCCGCAGCGTTGTGGGTGGGCCTAGCGGGACTCAGCAGGTGCCGCTTTTTGACGCATCAGAATACAAATCCAGGCTTTGTCTGATTGGATTGTTGTAATTAAACTTTGTATTGAACGAAAGTTTCCATTAAACATTATTGAAAAGGTAAGAAAAGGATCTGATCAATTCGATTTTCCCCCTCATTTACAGTGATGAGATAACGGCGCAGTGCGCATGGCTCTGGTATTAAACAAGTTTGTTTCTCTTTGCAGCGATCTTCAAAAGAAGGCAAAACAGTTAAATGACAGGGCTCGCATTGACCAGATATTTCCTGTATTTGACTGTTTATTTTGACGGAGAACCTCAAGGCTGCAGATGCGTTGACATTTTAGCACATCACAGAAGTATCTAAAGCGATCAAGATAAGATTCCCATCAGAACATCTGAGCATTTTACTGGCCACTGTGCTCAGCGCAGCTCGCTGTCAGCGCGCACATAAGGTGGACAGAGAGCTGAAGATGTGTAGAGGAGCTTGGCCGGCGTCGGTCACACGGAAGCAAGTGTTTCCAAACCCTGTCTCTCAGAGAGACGTGTCACTTAGAAAATGTTCCCTGATGATGAAACTTTGGCTGAATAGCGCTTGTTCCTGTCTCCAATGTGGCGATGCATCCATGAGCCTGTCTGAGGAAAAGTCCAGCATCTCACATCCTCTTCAGCTCAGAAAGCTTCTATAGAAACGTCTGATTACACACAAGCAGGTGACCTGTCATTTCAGGTCTTTATCCTTTTTGTTTAGATTTTCAAAGAGGACTATCTTTATATTTAGAATTGACAGGCAGAGAAAAAATTAATGCAGTAAAATAAAATATATTTTACTTTAATATTCATTCATTATTTTACAAGCACAGAGAGCCGCATCAGATGGATGAAAGAGCCACATGCAGCTCCAGAGGTTGCAGACCCTGGTCTAGTTTATGTTTATGTTTATTTATTTAGCAGACGCTTTTATCCAAAGCGACTTACACTTTATAACCTATAGGGCATGTTGTGACATGCCAGTTTGACACCAAACTCCAGATGTTTCCCTCAGAAACATCCCAACAAGTACTCAATCATTTCTGCTCGTGGTGAAATGACAGGTGTGAAGTTTTAGTCATCAGCACAAGTTCATCTAATCCAACGTGGTGTTGATGCATGTTTTTAAAGTGCATTCTGTGGTTGGGGGAGGGGGCAGCACAGGCATTGTCTGGCCTACACCAGCTGACGCCACCACACAACCCTGCCTACCCCCAGAACCCTCAGTGTCTAGATGCAGCTTAAAAATGGAAGTGAGCACAGGCACTAGGGGTGAAGCTGAGAAATTCCCACTGCCAGGTATTGTTGAGTGTGTTCACTTCCAAGGCCGTAAGTTTGCTTTTGCATGGAATGTCATTGGTGGAAGTGTTTAATACGTAAATTTAAATTGTGGTGCAAGCAGTGACAGGACTGCAGAAATGGGAACCATATTCACACCTTCTGACTTACACACACCCCAAGGCCCTATGTGCATGTTTGTATGGTGATGTGAAGGAGCAAGAAGAGGAAAATGTCAAAGGATGGGGAGGAATGGCTGGGAGGGACTAGACCCTCCAGAGAGCCAGCTCCCCCAGTGGCCCCAATAGGCACCCCCGTTCCCTAAATCCAACCAGGGCATGGAAAGCCCAACCTACAGTATCTAGCCACGGCCAAAAGCAGCAGCATCGCAGAGCCCCACGGAGTGCGAGACAACCAACCCAGCCCCATCCCAGCAGAGTACTCCCATCCCAACATTTGATCAACTTCCAGACTATGTAAGACATAGACACCCAGGTAAAGTTGGGTCCTCCCCTTCCTGTACATCCCACTCCCCTCTGATGGAACAGAAGTGTTCTTGCCAGTACAGATGGAGCCAAGGTCCACCTGAGGCGTTCGAGCCAGGACCAGACACTAGCGCATGCTCCCAACCTCTTGCCAAAAGCATACAAGTCAGGACCCAGTCGACCAGGCCAGCTCAGATCCTCATCCAGGATGACTGCCCCCCACACCCCTAGCCACCATGCCCTCATCCAGACCCATCAAAGGGCAATACAGCTATCAGGCAGTGACCTGCGGCCACCGGCAAGACCTCCAGAGGCCCCACACACAGCCGCCAGAAACCCACCCACCAAGGCCAACAAAATCATCATCATCATCATCATCATCATCATCCCAATCCAACATCATCAACATCAATATCATCATCATCACCACGACCACCACCATCAACATCATCATCACATCATCATCCCAATCCATCATCATCATCATCATCATCATCATCACCAAGACCACCACCATCAACATCATCATCATATCACCATCCCAATCCAACATCATCACATCATCACCATCATCATTATCACCACCACCACCATCAACATTATCACATCATCACCATCATCAATATCGTCACATCATCATCATCATCATCATCATCATCATCACCACCAACATCAACACATCATCATCATATTCGCCACCATCATCACCAACATCACCATCATTAATATCATCACCATCATCATGACCAAAATCACCATCATTATTATCATCACCATCATCATCACCAACATAACCATCATTATTATCATCACCATCATCATCACCATCATTATTATCATCACCATCATCATCACCAACATCACCATCATTTTCACCAAAATCATCACCATCATTTTCACCAACATCACCATCATTAATATCATCACCATCATTATCACCAACATCACCATCATCATCATCATCATCATCATCATCATCATCATCACCACCATCATCATCACCAACATCACCATCATTTTCAACAAAATCATCACCATCATTTTCACCAACATCACCATCATTAATATCATCACCATCATTATCACCAACATCACCATCATCATCATCATCATCATCATCATCATCATCATCACCACCATCATCATCACCAACATCACCATCATTTTCACCATAATCATCACCATCATTTTCACCAACATCACCATCATTAATATCATCACCATCATTATCACCAACATCACCATCATCATCATCCCAATCCAACATCATCACCATCATCATCATCACCACGACCACCATCATCAACATCATCATCACATCATCATCCCAATCCAACATCATCACCACCACCATCATCATCATCATCATCATCATCATCATCATCACCACGACCACCACCATCAACATCATCATAATATCACCATCCCAATCCAACATCATCACCATCATCATTATCACCACCACCACCATCAACATCATCACATCATCACCATCATCAATATCATCACATCATCACCATCATTATCATCATCATCACCATCATCACCACCAACATCAACACATCATCATCATATTCGCCACTATCATCACTAACATCACCATCATTATTATCATCACCATCATCATCACCAAAATCACCATCATTATTATCATCACCATCATCATCACCAACATCACCATCATTATTACCAACATTACCATCATCACCATCATTTTCACCAACATCACCATCATCATCACCAACATCACCATCATTATTATCATCTCCATCATTTTCACCAACATCCCCATCATCATCACCAACATCATCATCATTGTCACCAACATTACCATCATCACCATCATTTTCACCAACATCACCATCATCATCACCAACATCACCATCATTATCTCCAACATCACCATCATTATTATAATCACCATCATCATCACCCAAATCACCATCATTATTATCATCACCATCATCATCACCAACATCACCATCATTATTACCAACATTACCATCATCACCATCATTTTCACCAACATCACCATCATCATCACCAACATCACCATCATTATTATCATCTCCATCATTTTCACCAACATCACCATCATCATCACCAACATCATCAATTTTGTCACCAACATTACTGTCATCACCATCATTTTCACCAACATCACCATCATCATCACCAACATCACCATCATTATTATCATCTCCATCATTTTCACCATAATCATCACCATCATTTTCACCAATATCACCATCATCATCACCAACAACACCATCATTATTATCATCACCATCATCACCATCACCACACCTCCATCATCATCACCAACATCTCCATCATCACCAACATCACCATCATTATAATCATCATCATTATTACAATCACCATCATTATCACCAACATCACCATCATCATCATCATCAACACCATCATCATCACCAACATCATCATCATTTTCACCATAATCATCACCATCATTTTCACCAACATCACCATCATTAATATCATCACCATCATTATCACCAACATCACCATCATCATCACCATCATCATCATTCCAATCCAACATCATCATCATCATCATCATCATCATCATCATCACCATCTTCATCAGCACCATCATTATTATAATCACCATCATTACCACCAACATCAGCATCATCACCACCATCATCAACATCGTCATCATCATCACATCATTATTATAATCACCATCATTATCACCAACATCACCATCATCATCACCAACATCACCATCATTATTATCATCACCATCATCATCACCAACATCACCTTCATTATTATCCACATCATCATCACCAACATCATTTTCACCAACATCACCATTATCATCACCATTATCATCACCATCATCTTCACCAACATCACCATCATCATCACCAACATCACCATCATCAACATCAACATTATCATCATCATCATCATCATCATCGTCATTATCATAATCACCATCATTATCACCAACATCACCATCATCACCACCAACATCATCATCGTCATCATCATCATTATTATAATCACCATCATTATCACCAACATCACCATCATCACCATCATCATCATCATCATCATCATTATTATAATCACCAATGTCACCATCATTACCATCATTATCACCAACATCACCATCATTATTATCAACATCATCATCACCAACATCATTTTCACCAACATCACCATCATCATCACCAACATCACCATCATTATTATCATCTCCATCATTTTCACCAACATCACCATCATCATCACCAACATCACCATCATTATTATCATCATCACCATCATCATCACCACACCTCCATAATCATCACCAACATCTCCATCATCACCATCATCACCATCATTATTATATCACAATTATCATCACCATCATTTTCACCATTATCATCACCATCATCTTCACCAACATCACCATCATCATCACCAACATCACCATCATCATCATCACCATCATCTTCATCACCATCATTATTATAATAACCATCATTTTCACCAACATCACCATCATCACCACCACAAACATCATCATAAACATCACCATCATTATCACCAACATCACCATCATCATCACCATCATCGCCTCTGTCAGTGTGCCCCAGGGCAGCTGTGGCTACATCATCACCATCAGTGTGTGAATGTGTGTGTGAATGGATAAATGATACACTGTGGTGTAAAGCGCTTTGGAGTCCTTACTCTGAAAGGCACTATCCAAGTGGGGTCATTATCATCATCATCATCATCATCATCATCATCATCATCATAACCAACATCACCATCACCACAATAAAGTCTGAAAAATATTGAAGAACCC